GGGAATTTTTCATCAACGGTGTGTATGTCACATAATTAATTTAGTAGTTCAAGCAGGAATTGAACATATTTCATCTAATCTAACAAATATTAGAGAATCTTTATCATTCATATCTTGTTCTGGAGCTCGGCTCCAAGAATTCAAACAATATTGCAGGAACAGTCAGATGCGTCCAAGAAAGTTTCGAACTGACGTGAGACAATAGGTGGAATTCCACCTATTTAATGTTAAAGGAAGCATTCACGTATTCACAGCTTATCACGACATATGTAAACAGTAAGAACGATCAACTTTTAATTTTCGATACAGATTGGCAGATTGGTGAGTATTTTTTAAAATTTCTAGAAGCATTTTACAATGCTACTGAATTACTTTTTAGAGTTTATTATCCTACTGCACATTTAGCTTTACATCAACTATTTAATATTTTAGAAATATTTTCTTACTATAGGGATACAAAACTTTTTGGAGATATAGTTAAGTTACTGAAAAATAAATTTAAAAGTTATTGGTCAGGTTGTCTTATGTTATATGCATTGGCAACTATTTTAGATCCTAGGTGCGGAGTAGATGGGACTGGCCCATTGATGACTGCTATAGCAAAAAATTTAGGAATAGATATGCAACTAACTATTACTGACGCTAAGAGAATGTTAGAAAAGGTATTTAGTTTGTATGAAGTAAAATACGGCACAGGTCAAAAAGAACATGGAACTTCGACGTCAACTAGCAGTTCGGGGCCTAAAGGATCGTCGTGGAGTTTCTTAAAGAAGAAAGAGAAAACGACATGATCGTCATCAACACAAGCGTCTACCAAACTAGTAAAATATTGTGAAGTAAATTTTGTAATTGATGACGACAAACTAGACATCTTACAGTGGTGGAAGAGCAAGACCGATCATTTTCCAACACTGTCCGTAATAGCTCGTGACATTCTGACAAGTCCAGTGCCAACGGTAGCATCGAAGTAAGTATTTAGCGCAAGCAACCGAATTCTCGACGAAAAGAGAAGCATAATGCATCCAGATATCTTGGAGGGGCTAATGTTCGTTAAAGACTAGGAAGATGCCAGAAGACGAAAACAACAATACACAGATGCTTCAATGCAAGAATATTTTTCTAACTTAGAAATAACAGAATCTTCTGAAAGCACTTAGGTTTGTAATTTACTATTCCTTCCTACTGCACTCTTTTTTCCTTCGCTAAGGTTTTGTCCCGATTTCCCCACGGGTTTTACTTAGCAAGGTTTTTAACGAGGCAGTCATTGATGTGTACTTATTCCTATTATGTAAATTCAATGAAATCACATCTTTTGGGGGCATATGATATATTTTGTTTTTTCGCAAGGTTTTTAACGAGGCAGTCATTGATGTGTACTTATTCCTATTATGTCAATTCAATGAAATCACATCTTTTGGGGGCATATGATATATTTTGTTTTTTTAATTAAATTAAAAAAATACAATTTGTTGGGCCGGTCCGTGAAGTGCCTGGGCCCTGGCCCATATGGACGAGGGCCGCGGGCCTGGACCGGGCATGAGTTTTTCCTCTTAGGCCCGGCCCAGGCACGACCTTGCATTGTGTAGGGTCGTGCCAGGCGCGGCCCAGGCCCGTCACGGGCCTGGTATTGGACGTGCCGGCCCGGCATGGTATGTTTGACACCTTTACCAAACACCCAAACTTCACTATGTCCCAAACATAAAATAAAAATATTGATTGCAGAGTTAAGAGTTTTTAAAAAGCCATTTTATACATTTAATAATAAAGGAAATTTTTTCATTTTAAGTCCCAAAAAACTATCTCGATATATCAAAAGAAGGGTTTCTAAAAAGTCGAGATGCCGATATGAAATTATTAAAAAAAAGGAGTACCAAACTCATATTTCAACGCAAGATACCAAAATGAAATATTCCCTATTATTATTCATTATAAGAACCCAAAGAAAATCTTGTCCAAGTTAATTTCTCTCATCTATTTGGTTATTAACTCTATAGTCCATGCTGGATTTTCTTCCAGAGAGCCAGACTTTTCATAGTCTAAAATATTAACATTTTATTTTTATGTTTTTTTTAAAACTCAGATCCAGATATACATTAGCCAAAAACTCAAGCATTACTGTAAGAAATACTGTTATATTATACAAAAAGTTTGGAGTTTTTATAGTATAGAATTAGTGTACGTATACGTATATACACACACACATATATATATATATATATATATCTATATAATATTCTAGTTAAAAGTTTCGTACAATGTATTATAACTTTTGTTTTCCTTTTTTCTTTTGTTCTTCTTAACTATAAAATACAAATTTTAAAAAAATTAATAATAATAATTAAGGAAGTCAAAAATATTTAATTATATATATTGTAAATCAAAGGATTTAAAAGTAGTTATAATACATGGTCCTTAAGAGTTTTATGGACAAGTCTCTTATCTTTAGTTCAAAACTAAAATGATAAAAGATTATTAAGATATATAATTAAAATAATAAATATTCCTTTTATAAATAATTGATATAAATTAGTAAATACAAGAACAAATAAAAGAAAAACAAATGAGGACAAAAGTGTACAAACAGACCATAGAGCAAAAAAAAAAAAAACCCCAAAAGCCCCTACACAAAAAAGGAAGAAGGGAAAAAAAAAAAAAAAAAAAAAAAAGAGGGACAAACACAACAATTCAAATTCAAACGACAAAACCAATATTTTACTGTACTATGTACAATAAACCATGCCTCTTTTTTAATATATATAATAATGTCCAATTAAGATAGGTAGGTTTCGAATAATAAACACTTTACTATAACATGTCTCCTAATGAAGTATAAAACCATCTTTCAGTCGGGACTCTATTTTTACGGAAGACCATGCTATAATTCCCAATCATAAAAGTTATCTGCCATTTATATCTCACTACACAGATTTTATCCTTATTTTTCTCTCTTTGGATATTATTAAAAATAAAGACCAATAAAACTAAAGATGTAAGTTTAGTAGCGCATATTTCTTTCTCGTTTAAATCTGTGAACAGAACTAGCAAGTCTAGTATTGTCACACAACATTATAATTTAACAAATCGGAAAAGTTTCTCAAGCCAAGCAGTGCTCACAATTGGCTCGTGAGAACAAGATTCTTGAATCTTCTCTGAAACCATGCCCCAAGTAAAATGTAGAGACCGCGCTCGGATATGAATAATTTAGAACACAAAAGCTTTGAAAATATTAAGCAACAAAAATTAAGTTTCATCATCTTGAGCGTCTGAAAGCAAACAATCTTGTATTTGTGCCCTGAAATAAAACAAAGAAAAGATTAGTAGATGAAATTTCAAAATGAGCAAGAGACATCTTTCGATTTTAATAATTACGAGGCAAATGACTCACTCGAGCTGCAATAACAAAAAATGTGCTAGTAAATACATGAAAGTTAATTGAAGGGCCAGTCTCAAAGATTCTTTTATGTAACTCAGAAATGTAATTTCAGAAACCAATTTTCCGGAAATCCCAGGGAGTTTCGAGTTACAAAAGGTTTTAGATATGATTTATTCCAAAATCATCTAAACATCCTAGAGTATTTAGTTTTCTTTAATATCACCAATCAATATCACCCAGTACTTGCTAATTCTCACCTCAATAAACTGAGATTGTCAGCCTTGCTATGCTTTGCTTGTGAAAGTAATGTCTGGGGTAAAAGCGTACGGAAATTCTCCACCAATACCGGATCCTTGGGAAGTATCTGAAACTGACAACTCGAGCAGCATTCAGCACTAAAAACAACCGAATTTGTATGACAAGTCTCGACATTGCCTAAACTCAGCAGATCAGATCTACTAAGCGGGCTATTGCAGATAGAACAGAACGACTCTGATGAAATAGATTCATTTGGCTTAAGATTATGTCTCTTCTGACGCCTTCGAGTGGCCAAAGGGACGTTACTGTCATTGATCTCCGGAATCCTGTTGAAATGAAATGGAGTGAGCTTCCCAGCTGTCCTCACAATTGTGCTTTCTCGAGAAGGATTTTCTTCCTGAAGAACAAAAGTTTCAAAATTCATTGAGAAAATTGCCTGTTAACTTCTCTCTAAGAAAAGAACCATGATAGAATGCTTGTTTGACTCTATTTTTCTAAAAGAACCAAATAAATACTACTATCTGCAGGATACTAAACACTATAATTTAAACCTCTAAAATCAATCTCTTCAAAAGAAGAGTTTAACGGTGACAAATTTTACAAAATCACATTCAATGATGGCAATGGAGCTAACTTTACTAATAAATCCACATCTTCCCGATGTAGAACAAAACAATTATGTGACAAAAGAAAATTATACCCTGAAGCCGGCCATAGAATTTTGTAAAAAAAAAAAAAAAGATGGTGCCAAGCAACTCTAATATATATTTTGACCACGTATGTGAGGAAGAAATCATGAAGAACAGGTAAGAATGTCTCAAAATTTGAAAGCATAACCAAAATAGGCTGCTTTGAATCTTTGCAATTTTTCCGCTACAAAAGTACCCTTGATAATGTTCACACCTACCCGCAACAACTTCACAAATGATGAGACCAAGCCATTGATTCCAGTGCAAGGACTTCTAATCACCTCCGTAGTCTTAAAGCTGCCCTGCCAAGTTGAGAATTTGTGTAACGCCCTCCAGAATTAAACATATTTAATTATGTTAATTGTGTATATTAGTGTGCCTAAAACTGATTTTTTCTAATTAATCTTGTGATTAAAGATTAAGTTTTTGAGTTATTTTAAGGACTTATAAATTACTATTAGTTTTTTAATTTTCACCCTAAAAGTTTTTGAAAATACACTTAATTTTAATGTATTGTCTTTTAATTTTCTTTTCTTTTTCCTTTTTTCTTTCTTTTTCCTTTTCTTTTCTTTCTTTTCTTTTTCTTTTTCCCTTCCCTTCCTTCCCGTGGCTGCCCAGACCACACTCCCTCTCTCTTTCTTTCTTTCTTTCTTTCTTTTTCTTCTTTCTTCTCCACGGAAACTCCTTCCTTCACCGCCAGCCACCACTCCCTCCCTCTCTCCGGCCACCCATCTCTCTTTGGGTCTCTCTCTCTCTCTCTGGGTTTCTCTCTCTCTCTCTCTCTCTCTTGGAGTTCCCTGCCGAAAGAGGGAAGAAAGAAAAAAAAACCGAAAATGGGAGAAACAGAGGGAAACAAGGCTCCATCAACTAATTTGAGGTAAAATCCCTTGAAACCCACTCTTTGAATTGAATTTTAAACTTGAGAAAGTTTAACTTTGGTTAGATTTGAATAATTTTGAGTTAGGGTTTGGATTTGAATAATTGTTGATAGAATTAAATGAAATTTTGGGGTTTTTAGTTATTGGACTTGTTGAATTGATTGGAAACTAGTTTTGATGGATTCTGGAGAATTTATTTTGAAATTGAACTTGAATTGCAGGTTTAACATTTTTCCTATTTATGCCGGCATGCTGCCGAAATTTCTTTAAAAAGTTGTATTTAAGCTGACATTAAATAGAAAACCAAAGCCATTAATTGGATTTCAATCTTTAAAGAACCCCCAAACTGATTATAAAATCGTTTGTGAAACTTGGATTTGAGTCGAGGCACACTAATAGGAAACAATTAAACATGATTGAGCTTAATTCGTTTTAGTAATGAGAAATACTTTCTAAGATATTGCTTTTGAGATCAAGCTAGTAGAGAATGTTAAGTATTAAAGCTTTAAGGAAAGCGGAGGCTAGGAGAACGAAATGCTAGCCCAGGTTTGATATCCGAGAGGTAGGATATTCTTGTCCATATCCTTGTTAGCCTCACTTTAAATGGTTTTGGCCAATGAAAATGTTTTAGAACAAAACATGTTTAAAGAAAATGATTTTTAAGAAATAACATGAATAATGCTATTGACTTTCCAATGGTTTTTGAAAATGAGATTTTTAAAAGTATCATTTCTTAAAATGAAATATTTTAAGAAATGATAAAACGCAGTGTAGCCTCAGAAATCGGGATATGGAAATCGTATTCTTAAGGGCAAGACCCGAACCCGTACGGATCAACTTCTTGCTCAGTGGTGTTATGGCTCTGTACATTTTCATCATACAAACCTTTTACCACTTCTTGCTCAGTGGTGTTATGGCTCTGCACATTTTCATCATACAGACCTTTTACCACTTCTTGCTCAGTGGTGTTATGGCTCTGCATATTTTCATTATACAGATGTTTTACCACTAATATGTGAGAATTTCCCCTTTTTAACCTTTTACCACTTCTTGCTCAGTGGTGTTATGGCTCTGCATATTTTCATCATACAGATGTTTTACCACTAATATGTGAGAATTTCCCCTTTTTCAAAAAAAATGGATGATCGGTTTCAAGTGTATGTCTTCGAACCGTGAGTGCCTTTATTTACAATGTTTTATAAAATTGTATGATCGGTTCCGGGTGTATGTCTTTGGACCGTGAGTACTTTTATTTATAATGTTTTATAAAATTATATCCTACTGGGCCTTCCGCTCACTTTTATTATGTTTTCCTGTTTTAAACCCCTTCTCCAGAGTTAGCGGTTTAAATTTACAGCGTGACAAGTGGATGCCAATGGATTGAAGGCGCAAGATTCGAAGCGGTACGTTTGTTTCGGATTAACAGTTTTAAATTCTGAAATATACTGTATTTCTGTATGTAAACTGTATTGGTCGACATTGTCTCAGAGTTGTAATGTTTTTCTTGAACTTTATAGGCTGTTTTAAATATTATTTGTGAAAGAAAATCTCCTTTGCAAACTATATTGATATTTATGTATTTATTTTTGTGATTTTGTTAAACAATCCAGTTTAATTAAGTTAAATTTTAAATTAAACTCCAATAATCACGGCCCTTTCCTTGGGGTCGTGACAGTTTTTGATATCAGAGCCCGGCTTCAAATTCTATGGGAAATCGAGCATGTGTGAGTTTTTGAGTTTTGTTGTTCTTTTAACAGTTTTGTTGTTCTTTTAACAGTTTTGTGTCGAGACGTGTCGTACAATACTAGTTAATACATTCTACAGTTTCATTTGAGAATTTGACGTTAGAGTCCGTTTCATTCTCCTACAGCACTTTGATGGATGGAATCCATGTTTCTATTATTAATGTTTATCGATATGAAGATCGATGTTAAAGTTGACTTTGAAGTCTTCGGGATGTATTGATTTCGACCCGATGGTTATTGATTTGTTTCCATAAGTGCTCTAGACTCTTCAAAATCAGTATTGACTTCGAAATTCTCATGAAGATTTCAGTTTTGAGATGATATTCGTTCTGACTTCCGCGTAGTTGAATTCCCGATATTGGTCCCTTCCACTTTTCGACACGTCTAACATGGGGGTTTAAGTTGATGGAGAGCGACGACTTGAAATCAAGCAATTTTGATCATTAAAGTTTCCTTTCTCCTTGTTTGGTTCTTTCCGATTTGATTAATGCGCAAGTTTAGTCTTGCAATCTAGCTTTGTATCCATGCGCTCCTTTATCTCTTGAGAGTGTTTTACTCAAGAGTGTTTACTTCATGGGTTCTTGTGTTGATGAGACATCGTTCTTTCTCCGATTGGTGACGATGGTGGCTATAGACCCTATCGAGAGATTGACGTTTATCTCTGATATTTATTGTATTCAACCTAGTTTAGAAGCATGGTAGGTCATAACCCACAGGTTTCAGGATTCCAACTTCAAATTCTTTTCTTAATCTGTTGTGACCGGGAGTTGGTCTCTTTGTTATTATTTGTGTATCGCATCGTGCTATCTCTCCATCACGATCCTACGTTATTCAAGAATTGAAATTCTTTCTTGTCCCGAGTGTTAGTCTCAGTGATTCCCTCGTTAACTTGAACCATGTCATTGTAAGACATTGACTATGAATATTAATATTCTCTATCATTTCGCTTTTGAGATTTGATGTTAAGTCAAAGGTACTTTTAGAGTTGATCATATCACCTATTTCATTTCTAGTGAATGGTTTTCGTTTGATGTGGGATTTGTAGTCAATTTTGACTTCGAAGATCCTCATTCAGTCACATGGTTTTGAAGATTCAATCGTTATTTGATTTCATATCCATTCAATATTAAATTCCTACTGGTTCTTCTTTTAGAGTCAAATTTGACTATGTGAATTTCTTTAATTTTCTAGATTCTAAGTCGATGATTGATATTCTTGTGTTCGATCATTCCCAGAATCGGGTGTCTCTATTCTAGTGGTTGGGAGTCTATGTTGTTGATTGACTTCTAGCTGGAATTGATAATATACTGGGTATGAGATTCAAAGATGACAAAGTGTTTCCGTGTCCCATTCTATGATTCTGAAATTCATAAAGACTCGAATGAGGCGAGTGGTCCTATTTTATTGAAATTGGAACTTCGTTTCTTTCTCATTGATAAAATGGTTGATTGTGACAACCGATATCATGATGCTGCCAGCAGAGTCGCAAGGTGGATGTTCATTTCCATCGTTTGACACATAGGAATCCACAGAAAAGGCGTAGAATGTCTTAGTTCATAGGTTCCTGGACAACTATCTTGACGAATTGTCGTATTCGCCTCTTTTCTGCCATGTGAGTGACATTCTTGCTTTTGACTCATATCCAAGTGGTGTTTTAAATGGAAGAACTTCTTTAGTAGTTGAAGCTAAGTTCCCACAGGCTGAAGATGTTAGGTTCGACCCTCCTGAGTAGATGTCTTGTCAATTTCATGTGGAATTAGAGCGGGTAGTTCTAATGATAAGTATGAACAACACTTTGGACGTTTTCCAAATCGGTGTCAGACCCTGGGTGTTGCATTAAAATCAACCTTGAAGTCATTTAGTCCACGTGATGGATTTCATGCAACTATAAGAATTTTCCTAGAGAGGCCGTTCTGATTTTATGTAATTGTTTTTGAGGGCCTTGTCGGTTTCCGAACCTTATGTGTAACATACCAAATCAAATATCTAAGTGTCTACTTTCTTATGGAGTTCATTTTAAAATGTGGCGACGTAGATAATAATTTATGTATATTCCAGTCAAGGTCGACAAATCTGCCATTTTATTAGATTTATGAAGAATATGGATCGAGTTAGAAACTGATTTATGATTGAACGATTGGAAGTTTGAAGCCTTTGTGGTTGTTTAGCATTTAGTTTGAGTTTCTTTGGAATTTCTCTCTTGAATGTTATTATTTTGGACTTTAATCATACTTTCCCCACTTGATCCACATGATTTTGGGGAGGATTCTAGGAGCAGCCCAAAGAAAAGCTTAGGACTTGATTATTCTCAATAAGTTTTAATGTTAGTTATGTTAGAACCTTAAAATAGACTTATCAAGCTTTGATAGGAGATTTGAATCACCCAAAAAGGAGTTTTGTAGCTTAAGTTATGAATTTTTCAATTTGTTGGAAAAAGTGTTAAGGAACCTGACCTGGACAAGTTCGATACTGTTGAATTCTGAGAATCCTCGGAGATGAATTTGAATGAATGGGTTACATAATTGGAAACTAGACATCCTAAGCTTCGTATAGCCACAAGAATCACCCCAAATGGATAACAGTAACTCAAATTATGCATTTTTGAAGTTACGCTTGATTTCTAGGAATTCTGTAGAAAAACAGCCCCGTTTTGATCTGGTATAACGTGTTTTTGGAGACCTTAACATATCCGAAACTAAGCTTATGATAGCTCTTTGGAAAGCCCTAGATGTCTACTTCGATTAGGCGCTGATTTGGTAATTTATGGGGCTGTGTAGAATATTTTATGATTATTCCCGTAACAGCCGCCAATGTTATCTTTTCTAAGAACTAATAAAACAAAGAATTGAAACATGGGGCTGTGTAGAATATTTTATGATTATTCCCGTAACAGCCGCCAATGCTATCTTTTCTAAGAACTAATAAAACAAAAAATTGAAATCCTTACTTTTTGAAATGGGGTTGCTGCACCTAGGCTACCGTTACCACTATTTAGAACATGTTATTAGTGACGTGTGGGAGTTAGAATCACGTCATTTGAAATTTTATAACCCGAGCAGTGCGCATTGAAAGTTTCATGCCAAAAACTTCTCAAAAGTTATCGAAACCAGCAAATGATAGAATTTTGATTTCTTAGAAACTATTTTTGAGGTACTTAGAGATCAGATTTTGGCATATGATAACTCATTTCAAAGCTCTAGGTGTCTACTCTATCTAAAAACTAGAATTACACCCTTCAAATCTATGTGGAATGTTTTATGATCATTTCTGTCGGAAAGGTCAAAATTGCATTCTTGGCATAACGCAAAAAGTGTGAACTTGGACCCCAACTTCTAGAACCAAGATTGCTGCACTTAAGACACTAATCTTACCGTTTAGTGTGCATCATTAGTGAGGTGTAGCACTTTGAATCACTCTGTTTGGAATTTTGTAGGCCAAACTGTACGTAGTTAAAGTTTTGCTTAAAAACTTTTGAAAATGCATTGAAAAGCTAAAACTTCATAATTTCAACTTCTTATAAGAGGTGTTTGAAAGACTTAGAATATTTGAAATAGGACATGTGATAGCTCGTTGGAAAGACCTAGATGTCTATTTTCATTAGGAACCAGTTTTCCGCCCTTTGGTGACACGTAATATGGTTTGCACGTGTTTCCGTAACAGACGTTAAATCAGCCCATGTATGAGATTAAAGAACTGACCAAGTTGAAGGAATCCTTTTAGATAATCCAAGTTTGATTAAATGAAGAGTTATGATGATAGAAGGCGACTGTCTTATTAAGAGTTTCACCGTGCAAAGGAATCACTCGTTTTGGTGTGAAAGGGAAACTTGCGCCAAGATACATTGGACCATTCCAAATCGTGCAACATGTCGGTTTTGTTGCTTATCCCTCACCTTACCTCCTGAGCTATCTCACTGCACAATGTGTTCTATGTTTCTATGCTTCGTGAGTGTAAACCCGATCCGGAAGCTATTGTACACTGGTACAACGTGCCGATCCAGTATGATACGACTTACGAGAAAGCACTAGTTCTTTTTTTTCGGAAGATGAAGAGTTTACGCCGTCGTGAGATTTCGCTAGTGAAGATGTTGTGGCAACACCATGGTGTTGAGGAAGCGACGTGAGAACTAGAAGCAACGATGCAAGAACGATATCCATACCTGTTCATATCCTAGGGTAAGCTCAAATTTCAAGGACGAAATTCCTAAAGAGGGGTAGAGCTGTAACGCTCTCCAAAATTAAACATGTTTAATTATGTTAATTGTGTATATTAATGTGCCTAAAACTGATTTTTTCTAATTAATCTTGTGATTAAAGATTAAGTTTTTGAGTTATTTTAAAGACTTATAAATTATTTTCGGTTTTTCAATTTTCATCCCAAGTTTTTGAAAATACACTTAATTTTAATATATTTTCTTTTAATTTTCTTTTCTTTTTCTTTTTTTCTTTCTATTTCCTTTCTTTTCTTTCTTTTCTTTTTCTTTTTCCCTTCCCTACCTTCCCATGGCTGCCCAGACCACACTCCCTCTCTCTTTCTTTCTTTCTTTTCTTCTTTCTTCTCCACGGAAACTCCCTCTCTCTCTTTCTTCCTTCACCGCCGGCCACCACTCCCTCCCTCTCTCCGGCCACCCCTCTCTCTTGGGGTCTCTCTCTCCCTTGCTCTCTCTCTAGGTTTCTCTTTCTCTCTCTTGGAGTTCCCTGCCGAAACAGGGAAGAAAGAAAAAAAAACAAAAACAAAAATGGGAGAAACAGAGGAAAACAAGGCTCCATCAACTAATTTAAGGTAAAATCCCTTAAAACTCACTCTTTGATTTGAATTTTAAACTTGAGAAAGTTTAATTTTGGTCAGATTTGAATAATTTTGAGTTAGGTTTAGATTTGAACAATTATTGTTAGAATTGAATGAAATTCGGGGGGTTTTAGTTATTGGACTTGTTGAATTGATTGAAAACTGGTTTTGATGGATTCTGAAAAATTTATTTTGAAATTGAACTTGAACTGCAGGTTTGGCATTTTTCCTATTTATGCCGGCATGCTACCGAAATTTCTTTAAAAAGTTGTTTTTAAGCTGAATTAAATAGGAAACCAAACCCATTAACTGATTATAAAATTGTTTGTGAAACTTGGATTTGAGTCGAGACACACTAATAGGAAACAATTAAACATGATTGAGCTTAATTCGTTTTAAGAATGAGAAATACTTCTTAAGATATTGCTTTTGTGATAAAGCTAGTGGAGAAGGTTAAGTATTAAAACTTTAAGGAAAGCGGAGGCTAGAAGAACGAAAGGCTAGCCCAGGTTTGATATCCGAGAGGTAGGGTATTCTTGTCCATATCCTTGTTAGCCTCACTTTAAATGGTTTTGGCCAATGAAAATGTTTTAGAACAAAAAATGTTTAAAGAAAATGATTTTTAAAAAATAGCATGAATAATGCTATTGACTTTCCAATGGTTTTTAGAAATGAGATTTTTAAAAGTATCATTTCTTAAAATGAAATATTCTAAGAAATGATAAAACGCAGTATAGCCTCAGAAATCAGGATATGGGAATCGTATCCTTAGGGGCAGAACCCGAAACCCGTACGGATCCATTTCTTGCTCAGTGGTGTGGTGTTATGGCTCTGCATATTTTCATTATACAGATATTTTACTACTATTATGTGAGTATTTCCCCTTTTTCAAAAAAAAAAGCTATGATCGGTTCCGGGTGTATGTCTTCGGACCGTGAGTACCTTTATTTACAATGTTTTATAAAATTGTATGATCGGTTCTGGATGTATGTCTTCGGACCGTGAGTACCTTTATTTACAATGTTTTATAAAATTGTATGATCAGTTCCGGGTATATATATTCAGACCGTGAGTACTTTTATTTATAATGTTTTATAAAATTATATCTTACTGGGCCTTCTGCTAACTTTTATTATATTTTCAATGTTTTAAATCTCTTATCCAGAGTTAGCGGTTTAGATTTACAGCGTTACAAGTGGATGCCAATGGATTGAAGGCGCGAGATTCGAAGCGGTACGTTTGTTTTAAATTTACAGTTTTAAATTCTGAGATGTATTGTATTTCTGTATGTAAACTGTATAAGTCAACATTGTCCCAGAGTTGTACTATTTTTCTTGGACTTTATGGACTGTTTTAAATATTATTTGTGAAAGAAAGTCTCCGGAGCAAACTATATTGATATTTATGTATTTATTTTTGTGATTTTGTCAAACAATACAGTTTAATTAAGTAAAATTTTAAATTAAACCCTAATAATCACGGCCCCTATCCTTGGGGTCGTGACAATTTGGCTTATCTCTGAATAAAGATTTGGAAATGTTTTAAAAAACAAAAGGAAAGGACATGAATTACAAACCCATCAAGGTGGCAAAGCATGTTCAGCTCCGCCGCTAGACAATCTCGAAGTGGAAGCACTACAGGGACATTCCACCTTGCGTCAACATACTGAATATCTGCTGGTAAAGAATACCCCTTCCCCTGTTACGGAACAAGGTAAGAAGAGAGTCAAAATGCCATTAAAGATTGACCAGCAGAATTTATCTATGAATCATTACCTCATTGAATAGTTAATATTTCACACAAAATTGGTCCTCCTCAAAAGTTTGACCAGAGCTATTTGAATGCATTAAAATGACACCATTGTAACTATCTATAGTTCAATGTTATAGCTTTTCTATACTTTAAAGGAATGTTCACCAAGCCTCAAGATCATGACAAAAGTAAGGCTTTTTTGACTTTTCGTGTTTGGTGGATTGGTCCTTAAACTAAAATTTTTTCCAATAAACCCCCTAAACTTTGAAATTGTTGCATCACTCGTCCTTTTGCAAACGTCTGTCAAATTCTAGACAGATTTGGATGATTTTTTGCACATAACTTGCATGTGACTTTTTAATGAGGTCATTGACGGTCTTTTTAAAGAACAAAAAAAACTAATATCTTTTTGCTCCAACCAGCCCGTCTCCTTCATGCTCTCTTTTTGCTCATCCCTTCTCCTTCTACCTTCCGCTGCTGCTGGAGAAGAGTTATTACTGGAACTGGTATGGCCTCGACGATGGCTTCGCATCCTCTTCCGACTCTAACAACAGAAAGGCTCTCTGCTTGTCATCCTCCGGCAAATGTAACACTGCTCTTGATGGATCGTTGGATTTGCTTTTCCCCGGTGAGAGAACCAACAAACAGGATGCCAATCTATGGATCGACCTCTCTCTCTCTCTCTCTCCCTCTCTCTAAGATATGGCGTCGTGAGCCGGGCAACAACCTACTGAGAGGTTGGCGTGGATCTAGTTTTTCTTTTTTTCCTTTTTTTTTTGTTCTGGATGGTTGGGCTGGGTGGCGGCGACAATGGGCGGGGAGAGGACAGTACAACAATGGCGAGTGGTGATTTCCTCCGGCTGCTGCAGTTCAAGACGTAAAGCCAATTGTTCTCTTGTTCTCTAGTTCTTGTTTAGAAACAGAGTTTAATTGAACATGTTATCTCCCAAGTTCAACCAAATCAGACATATCATGTTGGATTTTAGAGGAAGAAATGTATGAATTTGGGGTTTATGAATTGGAAATTTGGAATTTGGAATTGTATTGAGAAGGTTATGAATGCGAATTCGATGGATGAATTAGGTGTGCCGAGGAGGATCTTTTGGGCTTTGTTTTTATTCCTTTTCAATTTTGCCTTCCAATAAAGAGGAATTGTATTGAGAATGTTATTGTACAGGAAGACATACGATATCTTCGTTCTGGGTTTTGGTTTTTCATTGAGTTATGGTGGTTCTTAATTTTTTAGTGCATAGGACTTCTTATTCCTACTTTTTGTCAAAGAAATGACCACTAGACACCCTTAAGAAGAGTCATGTGTGAATCACATGGCAAAATCCGTCCATAATTTAACAGACGTTACCAAAAGGACCAGTGATGCAACAATTTCAAAGGTCAGGAGGTTGATTGCAAAAATTTTTAATTTAAGGACCAATCCACCAAACACGAAAAGTTCAGGGGGGGTCCCATACAAAAAAAGCCCAAAAGGCATGCATATGGCACCATGAAGGAAACTGTTATAGGCTTTATAGTACAAAAGAACAGAGTGACTTCAATGATCAATCTCTAACCATCATGAATTACATTGAAATTTTGTTAGGACATTATGTGTGCTAGAAATTAAGGTTAATCAATTTTCTCAATAGTTTAGTGTGCATTTGTTTCCGTTTTACAGCTGATATAATACTGCCATCACAAAAAATTTCATTGATAGGAAATCCAAAATATCAACCAAAGACGGAATACTTGATTATAATTTTAATTTCCAAACAAATGAAATTAAACTTAAAGCAAGTCAAATACAAACCTTGACTGTAGCTAAAATAACATGGCAAGCAATCCTCAATGTGCACGATCCTAAGACAAGCCTGTTGTATCCATTTTCAGAGGCAACCTGCAACAAGAACAAAATATCTGCATCACCGTACTCGTTTCTCACAGTAGACTCTCCACTAAAATATTGTTCTTTTAACCGAACAGTCTGAACCTTTTGTAAAGACAGCATCCGTAGGTGAGCCTGAAGATCTTCTTTACCAGTGGCATCGGTAACAGCATCCAACAACTTTCTTAGTTGATCCTTCCCATCATTTGACTCCGAAGAGCAAACACTTTCAATCGGAACAATAAGTAATTCTTTGGTTGGCGGCGCTAGATTTGACACAATATCTCTTATTTCTTCAAATCCTTGGGAAACTTCACATGAAGGAACAGAACAGATGGCACTTTCATCAACAAATGCAACTCCTACACCGAATACTGGCAATGATCTATCCATACTTGCCTCAAAATTCTTCTGGGCTCTTTGCTGCATTTCATGTACAAACTGCAGAGCAACCCTGAATGGAAAAATCATACTTAATGTACTGGAAAATAAAACGATGTAAAATTTCAATGAACCCAATTCGTGTAAAATTTTTATCAGAGCAACATTCCAAAATATAAATATATAGAAAACCATTTCAACATCAACAAATGGAACCACGATAATTCGATTGCCCATATGGAGCTTAGTATAATTATGATCGAATTTGAAAGATATTTACTAAGGTCCATTCAAAAGTGAAAATCACGACTTTGTATCATGTTTATAATGACAGCCATAAATTCCTCAAGTTTGGATTTTTATGTTGTATCTCCCTTATTTTCCATAAAAATTTCAGTTGATACTTCTTGACAGTTCTCCGTATGAGTTTAGCCCTTGTAGATATATTTTTTATTATTATTTTAATTTTGTTCTTTATGTAAAAGTTTAGATATATCCAATGCAAATGGTTCAACGAAATTCCCAGCAAAAACTAAAATAAAATTCATTTTTT